GAATTAGTTTACATAAATTGAAGAGTTTAAAATCAATTATGATATAATTTTCAAGAAGTGGGGGCTTGACAATGTCCCTCCACACCACCGTCACTTCTTAATTGATTTATCACGTGCCTTTTTCCTTTTCTGGCCGATTTTTCGCACGTGTTCTTCAGACACCACAGCAACCCATCCTATGTCCCAGTCCCGTGGATGTCGGCCAAACATTATCCTTGTCTTTTTTTTTTCATTTTTTTCTTCTTCAATATATATATAGATATATAAATTCTACTAATTTTCTGGTATTATGAAACCCCTCCAACAACATTCCTTTTTATTATTCCTAATTTATTAAAATTTCAATCATACGGCCAAACTGATCATAAAAGAAATATAAAATCCAAAGACAATATCAAAACATAGATATAAAATCCTTAAAAAGGGAAGAGAGATATTTATAATATCAAAACAACTGTTCTTTAATTAATTATTATTATTATTATTTTTTTAATTTTCCATGTTGTCGGATGAAATAAAGCAAGTTTTTCACGGCGCGGAAATTAAATAATTCCCACTATAATTTTTTTATTTTTATTTTTATTTTGTTTATTATATTTTCTCACCTAGTTTAAGAGCCACGTAACAGCTGACACTTCCTATAAATATGTGGAGTCTTAAAAATCCACAATTGCATCAGAAAATAGATAAGATAACATAAAGAAAATGAGTTGGCCGGAGCCGGTGGTTTGTGTGCAGTCGCTGGCGGAGAGTGGAATAAGGACGATTCCAGTGAGGTATGTGAAGCCGCCATGTCAGAGGCCAGGTGGGGCCGCCATGGAGAGTGTTGAGGTGCAGATGAATATTCCGGTGGTGGACATGGCGAAGCTGGAGAGCGCGGCGGCGGTGAGGGACATGGCGGAAGCTTGCCGTGAATGGGGATTTTTCCATGTAATAAACCATGGGATTAGTGGTGAGGTGATGGAGTGCGTGAAGGAGTCATGGAAACAGTTCTTCGATCAGCCGTTGGATTTGAAGAAACAATATGCCAACTCGCCCATGACTTATGAAGGATACGGCAGCCGTTTGGGTATCGAAAAAGGCGCCATATTGGATTGGAGTGATTACTTTTTCTTGAACTATATGCCCACTTCCCTCAGAAACCCAGCCATGTGGCCTGCCTTCCCTCCGTCCACCAAGTAGGTCTCAAAATGATACGATTAAATTTAACCTAATCTATCGACTTAAATTTTTATTTTGATCAACCGTTTTATGGTTTTAAGCTGACGAACGACGGGTTGTGGTCGACAGGAAATTGATAGAAGAATATGGGAACGAGGTGGTGAAGCTATGTGGGAAACTAATGAAGAGGTTATCAGTGGGATTGGGGCTTAAAGAAGAGTATTTATTGAATGCATTTGGAGGAGAAGAGGGAATAGGGGCTTGCATGAGAGCCAATATGTATCCCAAATGTCCACAGCCGGACCTGACTTTAGGCCTTTCCCCTCACTCGGACCCTGGCGGCATGACCATTCTCTTACCGGACCACAACGTTCCTGGCCTCCAAGTTCGCAAGGGCGACCACTGGATCACTATCGACCCTATTCCCAATGCTTTGATTGTCAATATCGGCGATCAAATTCAGGTCCGTTCGATTTTTTTCTCACTTTCGAATTTCAAACAGTCAACAACCGAATCTAATATGTTTTGATCTTGCATGGTTGACTTATTCGACTATATATGTTTTGTTGATTAGGTGTTGAGCAATGCAATATACAAGAGCGTGAAGCATAGAGTGATCGTAAATTCAAACAAGGACCGAGTGTCGTTGGCCTTCTTCTACAACCCTAAAAGTGATTTGATAATTGAACCAGCCAAGGAGCTTGTCAGTGAGGAAAGGCCAGCCCTTTTTCCACGCATGACCTTCGATGAATATAGACTGGACATTAGGAAGAGGGGTATTTGTGGAACTTCACAGCATGAACAATCTCTTAAATCCACTTAATTAATTGGGTTTAAATTTTAATTCAAGTTATTGTTAAAGCTTTTTTCTTGGTTTTATATATACCACTTTTGCATTGTCATTGTTGGAATTTATTCCCGTTTATGTATTTTCTTTACCTTATTATGCAATTATAATTGTGATCTAAAAAAAGAAAATAATATTTATAGTCAAATTATGAATACTCATAAACAAAAGTTTGAATTCTCCGACATTATTAAAACCCCAATATCGACAAATCAAATATATCATAAATGTAATAAAAAGAAGCACATAAATTTTTTATTTTATAACAAATTAATTTTTTTTTTCAGAAATATATGGTTGCTTGCCATATGTTTTTTTTTTCAATAGATAAATTAAGTATTAAGTTTGGTAGTTGACTTTTCAAATAATTTATTAAGATTTCAATTTGTATTTAATAAATTCAAAATCCAACTTTTTTATTTTATTTTATTTTTTTTAATTTTTTTAATAGACATTTCGAGTGTAATGATATAACATTGTCTACTTTTGATATAATGTCTGCAGTTTTGCTTTTGGTTAAATCCAAAATACTTCGTATGAATGAAAATAATCGTCTTTGCTTATATACCATAGATCCACTCTTGACCACTCACGAGAGTTGTCATAGCCTAAGTTCACCGTAAGTAGATATTGTTCGCTTTAACTCGTTACATATCGCCGTTAGTCTCACGATTTTAAAACGCATATGCTAGGGAGTGGTTTTAGAGATTTTCACACCCTTATAAACAATGTTTCATTCTCTTTCCTAACCGAACAAAGCTAGATAAAGTGTTGATCCACTATCGAGCTCTTAAATCTTTTCCCATACTTTTCGAAGTTTCCCAATTGAGTGATAAACTAGAATTGGAACAATGAAAGTTACCTTCTTTCCATGGCTCTGTTTCATAACCATTTTTCCACCCAATAAAGCAGTCTTCTTTGTCACTTTTTTACCAATAACTTTTGTGGCATTGAAATCTCTACATTTTATAATATAAAAGCTAAGTTCAAACTTACCTAATTTGTGCTCAATAAATGCATTTAAAACATGTGATCACATTTGAATGAATCATCGATTTCAACATTAGTTCAGTGTTGATTGTTCGATCTTCAACTCCACAACTGTCGTATGAAAAACAAATTTTTTTTGAAAATAGTATCACATATATGAATATCAACAATATGTCGAGTATTAAAATCAATACGAAACCATATAATATCAATCATTTTTACTTTTTTGGTACCCATTAACAATTTTCTTTGATTCAAGTTGTATATCAAATTAAAAAAAACATTGAATTCATTGTCCTTTAAATGCTCTTAATCTAGCTAGACATTGCAAGGGATTAATATAATAAATAATAAATACAAAATAATGTTGAACCTACACTAAACAAGACATCAATTTTGATTAGAATAAAATTGAAGTTAATTAATTGTCTAATTTTCCCATCTTAGTGGGTTGATTGAAGGGTGGAGTGCCTCCCACATGGGATGCAGTCAAAACGCACGTTTTAAATGCACAGTGCGGTCCCAATTTTTTAAGCCACAAAATCCATCTATTGCTGTTCGCAAACTTAAACTGACGTGGTCGATCTTCATCGTCTTTTTCCACCATATTCTAAAATAAATATAAATGAAGGACGTTCCAAAGTGTACAAATTCATTAATTTAATAAACAGAAATATTAATTTATTGGATATATTGTTTTAGAAAAGTCTGTAGGCCTTTCGAACCTATATATTAAATTATGGAGTATTTTATTAGATGAAATTTAATTTAAAATTTTTCTTGAAATTAATTTTTTTTTTTTTTTAATTCCATCACTACAATTTTCATAATATAAACTTTTTGACATAAATGGAGCCTTTTGCTTTTGAAAAATAAAGAAGAAAAATGAGACTAAATCAGGAAATCACATAGGTAAGTTTGGTGTGGTGGGGATGCCAAGCCAATACCAAACACAACTTTCTTCTATCATCATTTTAAATATGTCATTTCTTAACTTTATGATAAAAATAATATTGGTCAAACACATATATTACGTTTTATTTCTTTGACTTTCAAACTTTGTATTATAAAATTTTAATGTGGGCACAATGGAAAGGGAAAATACTTTTTATGAGAACCTGACATATTTTATGTGGAAATGTGTCACATGCTATTAAGCCTTAGTTTTCTAATGCCTCCTCCTACTTTTTGGTTTGATTAAAGTAGAGGTGGGCTGAGAAAGCAACAAACAAGCCTGACTATTGCGGGCTTGACACAATTGGGCCGAACTAGATTGCCCAACTCATGCGAGATTAATGGAGTGGGCTTCATGAAATTGGGCTATGTAAGCACATAGAAGCCCAACTCTTATTACAACACATGGACTCAAAATGGTCGGCCCCATTACGGGCTTAATGGAAATGGGCCCAGCATGCCGAATCTAGCCCGTATATTATCTCAAATGGACAATAGTGGGCCTGTTTACGGAATTGGATCATTAGAAAATCTGGGCTTCGTGAAGTTGGGTCACACCATTTATAAGCCCAATTGTTACAGTATCATGTGGGCTCAATGAGGTGGCCTCGTCACTGTTGCAGGCCATCTAGAAACCCAACTTTCACAATGTACTAGTTATTTTATTCATTTATTGTTATTATTGCATTTATTGATCTAGAATTCTAGTCTATTTTCGCGAAGTCCTTTCTTTAATATGAAACATAAAGAAAATCTGCTAACAAATGAAATATGTCATTTTAATAACCTTTAAAAACCGACCACTTTTTGTCGATAAGATAGGTGGGTGATGAGCTGTAGCTGGGGAAGGGCAATGTCCTGAAGCTGCTGGTGGTGGTGGTGGTGGTGGAGCCAAGATGACTTCTGAACAGCTCGCTGAAATCAGCCGGTAGTTTTGATGGTTTCTTCTTCTAAGATAAAAATAGGGTAAAGTTTGTGTGACAATTTGAAATGCAAGGAGAAGAGTGGATCATGAAGTTCCAATACTCTTGAGGACATGTTGAGAAAGTCGTCCTAAAGTAAACAATATATATACCAGCATAATTAAATAAGTAGATACAGTTGAGATAGGTCAACTTCAGGATCCAAAACACCTATGAGAGATGATCATATAAACTAAAAATTCATACATACATATAGAAGTATTGTTACTATGCTTCATCAGTCACTTAAATTCCGGGCATTCGCACTTTTTGGCCCTTCGTCTGCATTTTAGTTTCTACTGCCTGCCCTTCTTCATGCTGCAAGATGGACATTTATATTGTTTGATACTGTCAGCCTTGGCAGGTGTTATCTTTACGCACTTTCCGTGGTACCACCTTTCGCAGATGTCGCAGCCAATCCAGAACTCGTCTGCACTGTAATTTTCACCACAGCTACCACAGAGGGTTTCGCTATGTTCATCGACATCCTCCTCGTAACTCTGTTCGGCAAGTTTCGGATTGCTTTTCACTTGCCCATCATTGGATCTCTATAATAGAGAGCTATCAAGTTAATAGCTACTCAGAAGTTTTAAACAATTTGTTAACTACAAATGCTTTAAGAAGACATGATAGTAATATATCACATATATAAGGTGAAGGATTTGAAGCTAAATCTTTAATAGACATGATAGTAATATATCAACTGTCAAGTTAAGCTTCTGATGTGTGTGATCAGAAGTTCTTTTTCCCCAAAATTTGGTTAGACAATTGTATGAAAATCGACACTAGACAAGGACAACATCCTTCAATCCCTCCCAAGAATTCATTGCATCGAACCACAGGAGAGGACTGTACACAGAAAATTCAATTGTGAATTATTGAAAAAACATGATCAACTAAATAAACCTTCGCGCTTCCTTGTGATCTGCTTCCACTATCTACACTAGGCTTCTCTTTGACAGGCTTCCGTTCTGTCACAACTTCAAAGACAGTGGGAAGATCGTTCATCAAGCTAAACAAACGCTTTCTGTCATTATATAATTAGTGAGACGGAAAAGGTTAGTGCACGGTTCCACAGCAAAATAACATCATTATGTAATCACATCAAATAAACAGTTAAGAAAAGTCGTTCTTCAACCTCCTAAAAGCAAAATTATTCAGACAGTAACATTGTTCTTGAAGGTAAATCAGTCATAATAAGCTGGGAAACGAAAGAAAGTAGTGTAATTGCCGTAGAATCCTTTAGTTTAAGTAGTCTGGTTATAGACCTATCACCCATATGTCGCAGAGAGTATTTGCAAATAGTGAAAAAAAAAAAAAAAAAAAAAAAAAA